AAACTTCAGATATCATTAATATAAGTACTCAACCTATAACCATAATACCTCCAACCTATAATAATAACAACAACAACTTTTCTGACATTTGACGATCTCGAGAGCAGCAACAATCACCTAGAAAGGTTTTGCATGAACGGAATTCACGAATGCTTGATAAGGGAGTGGGAAAGGTGGTCCACGATCAAAGTACATGGTTCAAGGCGATACCGCGGCATATTAACTAGATGTCTTTAACAGGCTCATTTCCTGTTAGGAATTTTACATCTGACATCTTCCACTAGAAATATGTTTTATGTCATTCAGCTGTCGCCAATAGTCAGTAGAAACGATGGATTTCTGTTTTATGTTGCGTGCAAAACTAAGCTTTCAAAGACTGTTAATGATGCCACTCAGGGCTGATAGAAAACTTAACTTGCATTCTGAAAATGAAGCAGTTTCAGTGCTTCTGTTCTTGACTAATCGTCTGACTGAATGCTTGCGGTTACCTTCTTGAACAGCTGAGGCACCGCACTGAAATTAATTTTGTTTTTTATTGCTTTCCTCACACCTCATTACCATTACATCACTGTGCGTATTTCCGAATCATGATGAAACGTTAAATGTTTCTTTCACTAGCCGAATGGTTCAGTGAACGAGACGAGTTGATTCCAAACGTTCACCAACTGTTCTTGCTTGATCGATGAGTGTCATTCACTTCAGTGACATTCTACAGTGACCATCTATGATGAAGTCTTTTAGGCAGTTTCATCCTGTTAGAATGTAGTCGCAAAGAATGGGCACTTTTTTCAGAAATTTCTTTGAAGGTTCCATGGTTGTCTCTTTGTTTTATCATGATAATCGTTAACCGTTTTGCACTATGGAAGTAAGACTATATCTCGAACTGGACATTCTTTTCAGAGGATTGGGTTATGTTAATCTTCAAATATTGTGAATTTTTCTGCAAGAATTCCTAATAGTAAACAACCCTGAATATCGACGCTAAAATTCCAATCATTCTGATGGAAGCCTTTACCTCGTTGATGCTTAAAGAGAGTAGATTTGGAAGTTTGCACTCAGCAGCGATGAGGAAAACCATGCCATAATTAAATGTCACAAATAGTAGCCAGTAGCAGTCACTTTGGTGTACTGTTGATATCCACGACGTCGAAACATATTCAGCTTCACTACTCTAAACAGTGCACGCTTTGTCGAACGAAAGACATTTAAATTCGGCAAAGGAAGTACAAACTCAGTAGTTGTCCTCTAGAAGTTGCTAGACAGCAGCGATGGATTGAAGTGATGGCGCAAAGCCTGGGCGTGAAGTATGTCATTCCTCATGTCTCGGATTTGCTGACTTAGCTTCGACAGTGCAAAGCTTAGTTTTGAATCTGTGCGGAATCGAATAGTACTTGAAGATACTCGTGCAAAGAACAGCAAAACGGAATTTCTGACAACCACTGTTTAGAGTGGCGTCATCTTCCGTCTCTGTTTGCTACCACGTTTGCTTCGTTTGTTGTATATCACTGCAGTGGCGACTGTACTTGAGTTCTGTTTACAGATTGGTGGTCACTACAGATCGGTAGTCACTTTACTGTGGCCGGATTGCTTAAGTCTGTTGTAGGTCACTTTTGTTCTTTCGCGGGAGGGGGGATGCGATAGCGGTTCGTGATACGTTCCGCCGTTTACACCTTGCCACACTCACACGGTTCTTTAATTTTGCATTTATGTATCAGGTATCCGTTCCTATTGTGCCTTGTGCGAACGCGGTTTTGATTTCATGTGTTCCACTATCGACTGGGTATGCATAAACCTCTCCCCTTTTTGGTCAATTCTTCAATCAGCTTTTTGTTGCTAACTTTACGTCTACTCCTGGATTTCATTCAGCTGATGTTTCGGCGTTCCTGTCAGCCTCTAGGGAACAGCAGTGAATTCAGCAACTTCAGAAACTTTTTCATGATTTTAGTCGCATAATTTTCGCGGGATTGATTTTCTAGCGGATCACAGGTTCAGATATGCAGAATCTGGTACGGGCTCACTTGCTCGCCGCAGAACTGATCGCCTTTACAATAGTTCAGTGACTCTGCCTCGTCTCACCTCTGGCCTTTGGATCACCTTTTTTTCCACAGTCGCGAAATAGAAGTATTCAACTGTTGATAGTTGCATGAAGCGTTTATTTTGCAATTTCTTTCATACACTATTGCACAAGCACGTCCGATATAATACAACGCAGAAATTCTGTGATACACAATATTAGTAATTAATGATTAAAATTGTGCAACACCTTGAATAATGGTGTAAAAATTTTTTTCAGGCATTCCATGACGAAAATTAGGGAATGAAGCTAAATGGTCGCTACTTAAGTCATCTGTGGTTGGGGGACGTTATCTGAATCCTCAAAAGAACTTAGAATGAAATTCGAGAACTGAATGTCGTGAGCATCAAATCAAGTCTGAAAGTGAACTTGAAGATTTCTAGTTGATGTTGAACAAATATTGGATCTGTTGCACTCATTTGAGGTTTAAGACTACAATAACTGTCTGGGAGAACTGATGTTCGCATCGAAAGCCGATTCCGCGAAATCAGTTGAGGGCTAAACATGGCATTTAGCACCTTTAGGTGATTGTAACTATTTTATGTAAAAAATTGCGTTTGTGCTTGAAACAGAAGTTTTCATCAATCCGTACTCCTATTAGTAATGTATAAATGCGAAACATGAACTCCAAGATTGAAAGCTGTTCAAAAACTGCAGGCTGAGTAACGGCGCATGTAAGGGTGTGTGTTGGGCATATGAAAGTAAGAACATGAAGGAATTGGAAAAGGCACAAATAGGACTTTCCAGTGCCATTACATCGTTAAAGAAGTTGTAATGTGGTTACGTTGCAAGAAGAACCTAGTATCGCTAGTTCTGAAAGATATTGGACAGGGTTCGAAAAGAGAAGCAGTGGTCCGTTGGAAGATCTTGAGGCCGATAGCAGAATGAGTTGTTAAAGAAAAGTTTTTGTAACAAAAAAGATAAGAATTGCAGAAGACAGAACTTTGTTGTGAATTCTTGTAGAAGCCTTAGAAATCGCTGACGTTATTTTAATGGTATGTATTTTATGGCATAAAACTAACTGTTTCACGTCAGAGGCAGCCATCTGGAAACCGCTTTGTTCGTGCGTTGGGAAGCCTGTAAAGAGTTTGTTTATTTTCGATGGGTTCAAGCATAATTCGGTTAGTTCCTCACTAGCACACACCACTCTCAACGAAGAAATATGCTCATATAGGCTGCTCTTTTAAAGTTAGGATCTGACCTGATTATAACTGTAATAACTTCGGCACTAACAGAAGAAAAAAGGTCAGTTAAGAAACAAAGTATCCTGCGTGTTATGCACCTTCGTGTTCCCTCATTTTGCTTTGACAC